AATGCGATCAGAAAAAACGCCTAAAAGTCTACCAGATTAATTTTAAACTAAAGAATAATTTTTCTCTATTTACCAACTATATATTTCACTTGAAAGAGATTTTGTCTATATCAATTACAAACACAAACACTTTTAAACTAAAGGCAATTTGGATTGGTTAGTCATTACCAAAATAAGGAACAAACTTGATAAAAGGTCAAATAAAAAGTTGGCAGGTCTACTCTGGAGCCTAATTTCAATATAGATTTCAATCCAATGTATTTTGAAACATAATCAAGACTAAACAGAATAAATTAATAATAATAATATCAGTTAAATTCCTTAAGCAAATTTCCGCAAGCGAAGTACCCATGTTTCGTGATCATTATCACGAAACATGGGTACTTTGCTTGCGTATAATTTAAAAAGGCGCGAAACGGCTAATGTCATTGGATCGGAACTAGTTTTCAAAGTAGATCGACTAGCTGAATAGTGGAATGGGTTCATAGTCCTTGGCGTTATTATGCAAAAGTATTAGTGTAGCCACATCAAAAAACAAAATAGGATCGATTCTTTTTTATAAACTTTCGTGTTTAATGTAGAATATACATAGTTAATCAAGTCTTAACACGAATAATAAATAAAACGTCGAGAAAGGTAACTACCTTATTTACAATAAAATTATTTGTGTCAAGTTACTATTAACTGTATTAATATTATATTCGTATTAAGTTTTTAAAAACAACAATGAAATGAATTGTTAACATGACCGACCTTATGAACTATACGTACTTGATATTACAGAGTACTTTAATTAAAAAAAAAATAACTTTTTTTTTTTATAATTTGGCGCCAAAAGGCCACTGCAAAGGAATTGTTTATAATACCTACAATTTGTGAGTTTGAAGGATGATACTTAATTTTAAAACTATTTTAACTGAAAATAATTTAGTGTAAGTATATAATGTAATTTCTGATTAGTCATTATAGACGCACGAATGGAAATATGTATATTTTGTACAGATATTAAAGAAGTAATGCGAATTAATGCACTCAGTTGGTTAGAAAATGGCGACTGATATGTAGAACTATATTGTGTACAGTACCTAATAATTATAATAGGGCTAAGTGAACGTGCCTAATTTATAGTATTTCAAATTGTTATTTATTAGCCTAATAAGCTAATACCTACTTTCTGCCATAAAATACTTTTTCTTTTAAAACCAAAGACAATTTCCGACATCTTCCGTTCAAACATATGTGCACTAGTCTTATATTGGTCTGAATCATACGGGCGCATCTATAAATTACGTCAGAGGTGACAAAGAGTGACGTTGTATGACAAGGGATGGGTGGAGTACTACAAACAAGGTTTGAACTGTCTTATTAAAATATTTCCGGGATTTTAATAAAATTATTAAATATCTACCTATACCTCATATTAAGGGGAGAATCACAAATGTGACAGACTGTGACAAGAACGAGGGAAAGGTTTTAGAAATGATTAAATTCGTGTATCGTAATTTATAGATGGCCTCTAGAATTACTGACTCTTGTCTGTATTAGTAAAAGCACAAATAGTGATTGGCTATAAAAAAAATACTGTAGTGTGCCGTCCTTGTCTAATATTCAAGGAATGAAGAAGTCCACAATACAAAATTGACAACAATAAACAGTACCACATCAAACTGGAACGTATAACAATTTTCTTGGCTCTTTAAAGTGTTTTTAAATGAAGTAGAGTTTATAAGCATAGGATCTGATCGCAGAATCTTAATAAGCAGAAAAATATAATATCTACTACTTAATTAATAATAGATTATCTTAAAAAACGCCTTTAATTTATTCTAAAAGTTGGTAAAAAGATATTTTTATATTGAACTTGCTTTTTATATATTTTTACAATATACTTGCTTTTTATTGAGCGCCCTAATAAGTAAGAAAAAACTTTTTTTTTTACTGAAAGTGAATCTCTACTACTTAATACATAAATTCGACAAAAACGTTTAATTTATTCAACAAGTTATTTACAATTAAAATATATTTGAAAATAAAGCTTTTATTCAAGGCCTTAGTAGGAAAAAATATGGTTATATAGCTTCAAAAGAACTATATAACCATATTTCATTCTACTAAATTGCATATTGATAAAAAAAGTAATTTTTCTTTTTTTTTATCGAAGCGAGAGTCGGGTAAATTGTTATACAGTTAAAACTATTATAAGCCACAACTAACTACTACTTACCACTTAAAACATGTACCACGCTTGTATTATCTTACTTTAATTTACTAACACGCTCGAATTATAAAAGACAATTTCACGAGTCAATTGTTTTTGGTTCTCTTCGATTTTCATATTTTTATGAGAATCATAGAGCACTGAATATTGGTAGTATTTGTTTTAGATTTAAAAAAAAAACTTATTTAGAACAGAACTGTCCAAACCAGTTACGATCTGGGTCCAATAGAAAAGAATTTTGTAGTATACAGAAACAAAATATTTACAGATTTTGATATTTCAACAAAGAGAACCTACTTGCTGCTATACGAAAAAAATATTATATTCATTTATTTCGTATGCTACCAAAAATAATTTAGAAAAAAAGTAAAATATTTTTTCGTTTTACATACGTCGTAACGAAGGAAAACTTCGGGTCTTGCTTTGGACAGCTTTGATATAGAGAATAACGAATTTTAAGTCATTTTTTTTTATTAAACACATTTTGTGTAATTTGTAAATAAATAATTATACTTAGCGCATTTTGTATGTTATGATATATTTTTATTTGAGATTACCGCAGTATTTTACAAGTTATATAACGTTAGCCATAGACAACCTTCTTATTAATGTTATTTTTTTTGTCAATATCATTCAAAAGTAAATTATTGTTAAATCTTTTCAAGATATAAAGAACTTAATTTGTATTATTGAGTTTTATTATTGGAATCCTATAAAACTGAAACCCTCCTACTAAAATTCATCAGTTAGAGCAATGATGAATGGATCGATCGTCATACTCGTGTACGGATGCTGCTTGTAGGGCAGTCCCTACAAGCAGCATCCGTACACGAGTATGACGTTCTGATAGATCCCAAATTGATTTATATTGTGACTCTACCAACTATAAATGTTTACATGCTTCCCCGTCCAATTCAAATGGGCCTGAGCCGATGTTAGAACCCCTAGCGGTGCCTTCAGACTACAGTCGTATCCGTCAGGCGAGAGTTGAGTTCAGCCGCTTATTAAGTCCTACAGGTTTGTAGTGCCATCTGCACTCGCCCCCTATCGTCCGGTGAAGCTGTAAAGGCCAGCTGCGGCCAACAGCATTAGAGTAGTCCGAAAAAAAAACCTGCTACATCATGTTTTACTATTACCACAGACAAAATGACAACAATTATTCATGTACGGGATTTTCATGTAATGTTAGATATAGACATCTGAATCAAATAAAAAAAATATATATAAATTCATAAATTAAAAAAAAACGGCGGTGAATTTCTCTCGGATAGAGCCCACTACCCCACTAGGTAAGTAAGCACTAAGCACTCTTACGTACTCTTGTTTCATTAAATACAAACTGACGCGTGACTTTGTCCGTTAAATTTTTTCTTTTATTGAAATACCTATATTTCTATTCGAAAATAAACGTAACTTAACTTACTCATTATAACATTAGCTATCTACGAGTGAAAGTCTCGTTAAAATCGGTCTAGCCGCTTCAATGTCAAGTAAGCACAAACAGTTGTAAATTTATTGATGGAAATAACAATAGTATTATACCTACTTTAATTTGCTTTTAGTGAAAAACTGTTAATTAAAATTACAAAAAGACACTTCAATTTTATTTATTTGTAGATATAGATAATCAGGGGTATACAGGTTTAAAGTGAAAGAATATTTTTTAGAAATAACATCAACGCATTGTATAATTAGACATGTAATGGTAATTACAACTGTTTTGACATTTGTCCTGACCTAACAAAAGTTTATGTTATGCATACTAAACATGTAATACACCGAGATCAGTAGAAATAATTATAATCATGGTCAAAAATGTTTGTATAGTGTGAGGAATCGAACCCGCGACTAATGGAAGTAAGGCGATATGCTAACATCCTAGATTACCGAGGTCAAAAACTGCTGTTTTCTCCTTATATATTATTAGGATTTCATATAATTATTTGGTGATATTATAAGTCTTTTTGTATTTTGCTAATAAATTTTAAAAAAGTGTGGCGATTCTACTGTTTCTACTCTAATCTACTGTTGCCTAGCGACGTTGGGAGACGGAAAATAACAAACCTGTCAGTTTGGTACCTAATCGCTTCTGTTCTCATACATTTAATATTCGATTTATTATTATAGTTAAACCATACAACCATTGTAAATAACGCAAGAATATACATTTGTACATAGCCATCACTGGACTTGTTATTTCATCTTCCTACACCTGTCGCACCCCGTACCAAACGAATACAAAATAAATAATAGCGGTAACAAGCAAGCCGCTAAAAAAGCTTGTATTTGTAGTCAGTCAGAGACAACCATTCCTTTACTTGCACTGTATAATACCATTACATTATTTCAACAATTCAAGACAATCGTGAACGAGTGCTGCTTATAGGGACTGATCTGCTTTTATCACTACGACTGATTAAATCTTACTGTATATTTATATTTGACCCAAAAAAAATTAGTGCTGGTTGGTAGTTTGTATTCACATTTCACACGTTTCGACTTGTAAATGTAAACTTCCAAGGATTATTTAAAAAAGCAACACACAAGTTTCCTGCTCGTTCTTCTTGTGATGAGTCAGCTTTCCGAACGAGCGGTAGATAAAAAATGTTATGACTATTCAAAAGTGCTGAAATTAAGTTTATTTGAATAAATTATTTTCTATTCTATAAAATAAGGAATGAAATGTGAATATCAAAAACATGCTGACATGGCTGTATGAGTACAATTCCCTTTGCCTTACCATTACGAGATAAAAAAAGTAATTCTACAATGACAGCGGTAGCAATTTTGTTTTTGACATTTAACATTTCTGACATTTTGCAATGTAATCATGGCGTCAGAACGGTATAGTTTCTCTCTCACCACTTTCAGGTAAAATTAATGTTTTTACTTAAAATTCCTATGTTATTCAGTTATAAATTTCTTTATTATAATATGTTATTCCTAATTTACCTAGTATTTAACTGTTAAGTACCGTAAATAATGTATATAATCCGTTTATACTTTCGTTACTGAACGTTTGAGGAATTCTTACATTTTTTGCATTTATTTTCAGCCCGTCAGGAAAATTAGTGCAAATAGAATATGCTTTAGCAGCTGTAGCAGCCGGCGGTACTTCCGTCGGTATAAAAGGTAGTATTTATATACATTTTTAGGTTATGATATTTTCAAATTACGAGTCATCCCTCAGGCAAACATCGGAAATTAAAACTTATAAACTCTTTCCATTTGTAAGGATATCCAATGACTTATTAAAACATATTAAATGCATTGAAATGAATTGATAATGTATATTACATTATCAATTATATATATACCAATATATTTTTTTATAAGTCTCTTTGTTTGTTACTTATTCTGCCACTCATTTCTGAACATATATTCATCACAAGAAGAAGGAGTTAGAAACCTATACAATTGTATTTGTGTATGAGTAGGCTATAATATAAATAATTTAATACTACATTTAATATAATTGTGTTTTTTATTTCAGCATCCAATGGAATTGTCATTGCCACTGAGAACAAACACAAGAGCATACTGTATGATGAACACAGTGTGAACAAAGTTGAAATGATCACGGGACATATTGGTTAGTGTTTTTTTTTATTATTGGTTTTTTTTATGGATGATAATGGAATTATGCACCCAGCTGCGAGGTCTGGTCAGTTAGCCTATCGTGATAAATTCTTGGTGAATTTGTCACGATGGGCTAACTGACCTGATATTTTTTAATGGATAATGGAACGGTGCACTTGCCTGTGCTAACGGTTTACACTGGCGGAGTACCAGTGGAGGATGACAAGATGGACCTGAGGTCAGGACAGTTAGCCCATTGTGACAAATTCACCAGGAATTTATCACAAAGGTTTCCTGGGGGAACTGCCTGGAGGTGAACCTGACATGGTACATTGCTAGCAATAAGATCATCAGTTCACATTACTAGCAATCCCCTTTCTGCTCTTTATAATTGAGTTAGGGCTGTTACTTGGTGCTTAGGTTTTTAGCCCTGTGACCTGCAGAGCATTTGTTATAATTTGCAGCCTACACTGTAGCGCCTATTGTGTACAGGTGCTTGTTTAAGGGACAGTGGCATGCAACCCGACTCCATGCGCAGCTCATCTTAACATCCTCCACTGGTGCCCTGCCACCCTAGACCGTTACTACAGGAAGGTGGAACATTCCATTATCATCCATTAAAAAAATCTTTTAAACTCAATAATGACAATTGACTGTTCCTCCAGGCATGGTGTACTCAGGAATGGGGCCAGACTACCGCCTGCTCGTCACCCAGGCTCGCAAGATGGCGCAGCAGTATTACTTGATGTATCACGAACCGATACCCACAGCTCAACTTGTGCAGCGAGTGGCTACTGTCATGCAGGAATATACACAGTCTGGGTAAGACTAGTGACTCAGTTTTTTTTTTCTTTTTTTATAACGCATGACACAAACAAGCAGCATGATACAAACAAGCATGCGGCTCACCTGATGGTAAGTGATTACCGCCGCCCATAAGCACCCACACCAGGGGAATTGCAAGTATGTTGTCGGCCTTTTAAAAAGGAATTAGCTCTTTTCTTGAAGGTTTCAATATCATATCGGTTCGGAAATGCCATTGCTGGAAGGTGATTCCACAATGTGGTTGTGTGTGGCAAAAAGTTTCTAGAAAACCGCACTGTGGAGGACCGCCAATCATCCAGATGATCAGGATGGTATTTTAGTTTCTGACGGTTGGTACAGTGGTGAAACTGCAAACTGAAACTGAAAAAGCAGCTTGTATTAATCCGAACAATTCCTCAGAACACTCCCCGTGATATATGCGGTAGAAAATGCACAGAGATGCAATATCTCGCCGCAAAGCCAATGGGTAGAGTCTGTCACATAGATTTTGATTACCAATGATTCCGGAAACGGTGATCACCCATGGGTAAAGTGCCCTATTGAAATAAATCTAATGGTTAAATAATGTCTACCTTCAATTATTGTACATTAAAAACATATTTAAAAAATAGTATATGTGTAATTAACAATAAAAAAATGCGTTCTTCTACGTGTTAAATAATAGTTCAATTTCGTGCGGACGACGTACCTAGTAACAGCTAGTCTTATATATAGTTTCAACCTTACAGTGGTGTACGCCCCTTCGGGGTGTCGCTCCTGATCTGCGGGTGGGACAACGACCGCCCCTACCTGTTTCAATGTGATCCATCTGGAGCATACTTTGCATGGAAGGCAACAGCAATGGGCAAGAATTTCAACAACGGCAAAACATTCCTTGAAAAGAGGTATGGTAATATATATAGACAATATATCAGTGGTCTAGCTATTTAGCACACCGCTTTACTATTGATGGTTGTGGGTTTGATTCTACTTTGAATGTGCTATACTGATAGACCACAGAGACAGTCGTAGATTAATTATTCAAATGTGCTTAAATTAAGAATATTTAAATAAAAAAAAATATCAAACTTAGTTACTAGTAACATCAATTATACGTAATACGTCGGCCATGTTGCCAACCATGTATAAAATAAGTATTATAAAGCTGAAAAGTTTGTTTGTTTGTTTAAACGCTCTAATGTCAGGAACTACTAGTCTGAATTGAAAATTATTTTTGTGTTGGATAGTCCATTTGTCGAGGCTTTAAGCTATATTGAAAAATGTTGCAAAACGGAGAAAATTATTCATATTTGAGGGCTTCCGTTGCGCTGCGCGAACGAAGTCGCGGGCAAAGCTAGTCTATATATATGCATACATGCTAGTCTATATACATGTATCTATAAGTACCATTAATTTTAGAATTTTTCTAAATTTATTTTCATAACTAGATTATATTCGTGATGAAATCTTTTTCTATTAAACATGGGGCATCAACAGGTATACCGAGGACTTGGAGCTGGATGATGCGGTCCACACCGCCATCCTGACACTCAAAGAAGGCTTCGAAGGTCAGATGACTGAAGATAACATTGAAGTCGGGATATGTGATGCGAGCGGCTTCAGACGCCTGGAACCAGCTCACGTTAAAGACTACTTAGCAAATATACCTTAAGATTTGTAATAATTGGAATAAATGGTTTTTTTTATATATATATATTTTATTCTTGTATTTTATTGTGACCAAATGTATTCGCTGGCCAATTTGCAAAACCCGAAAAGTATGTCGATTAAATAAAAAAAAAAGAAAAATTATAAATAATATATAGTAGATCTAAAGAGATTGTCAATTAAAAAATGTTATTACACTGTGCCTACCCTTGTAATATTTCTGTTGACATTTAACACAGAGTACTTTATTATATATACATTTAAAACCCTCCACAAGTTTACATTTCCACATTAAATATATTTAAGTTCAGTGTAAACAGTCCACGTTACGACTCCGCGTCGAATGTACGCGTTACTAATAAGCCCTGTAGCACACTACCAAATAAACTTACTAATGTACAATAAATAGTACAATTATTTCATCTGTATACTCACTACCTACATACTACAGTAAACAATATATTATGTAACGACACCTCATCACATATATAATGCTATAGTGGTGAGGTGATAACCACCGCGTAACCTGTACTATCACAGAATATAAAAATGACACTGATTCAATATTCTACAATTTAATGTATGTATATGTATATATACATAATTTATACATTCTAGTGTATCAACAATAAACTCGTGTATTTTAGCTATTTTCGTAGCATTATGACATACAGTATTTTATTATGTGGCAAAGCAGCTGATATACCATAAATACAGTATTTATTTTACAAAAGAGGGCCATCCGCTCCGTTTACGGTATGGGTTTCAGGGAGTCTTTGCGTGAATGTTTTAAAGAATCAAATATCCTCACCGTTGCTTCTCAATACATCTACGAAAATATTTTGTATGCCAGGAAAAACATTAACGGTTTTAAAAAAGTAGGTGATTACACTAATAAAAGCTTACGTAATGTCAACAAACTAGTTTTACCTAAGTGCCGTTTGAAGAAAGTTAGTAATTCGTTTTATGGAAATTGCGTAAGGTTTTACAACAAACTCCAGAGTCTGTACTCAATTTGCCAGAAAAAATTCAAATGTGTCATAAAATATTTTATTCGTAATAAAGTTTATTATAAAATTAAAGAATTTATAAATGATAATAATGTTTTTGTAGAAAATATCTAACTTAAAATTCATAGCGCTGACAATGTTATCTGATTGAATAGAGATCAAGTGCGTAGCGGTTTCTATGTTGATTGTCGCATGCCTAATCCTTGTTGTTAATTAAATATAAGTAAATCAATATTTATTTAAAAGAGCAACACACAAGTTTCGTGCTTATTCTTCTTGTGATTAATCTGCATTCCGAATAAGCGCCAGAGTAAAAAAACTTGATTATTCAAAAGTGCTTAATATAAGCACTTTTGAATAATCAAGTTTATTTGAATAAAAATTATTTTTATCTCTATACGGGAATTTCAACTTAGTACGAGGCAATAAATTAAGGCTGGCAACATTGATCTGAAGTCACGTCGTTTGACATTTCAATGTATTATGACATATGTATATATATATAATAACATTAATATTTTTTTAATTAAAACTGATTAATTTATTAAAAAAATTCTGATCTTTGATTATTTCTTAAATTCATAAAATCAAGTGATGATTGGTCACAGCTCTCATAAGTCGATTTTAACAGGAATATAGTCAGTAATCAACACTAAGCTGATTTCTTACTTAAGTGATTTGTAACCCCGATTTTGCTGTGTCAGCGATTTCACTGAACTCCGCGATGTATTGTAACACTGTACTCCAGGAACACTCCATCGTACATATCAAGGTGGAGTGTTTGGACCCAGAATCAGATACTGTATCTCACAATACACAAGATCATTTACATGTTGGTACTGAGATTAAACAAGAGAAGGTTCCGCCTGACGAGACTCCAGAGTACGCGGCAAGCAACATACCGGACCAGTCCACAGAAGCTGACAATCACTACAGATCTGTGAAGACGGAGTGTATTTATCTGACTGAGGTATCTTCAGAAGCATATCCAGGTAATTCTGGTAATATTAATGATAATTTAAAGTCAGACCTATATGAGGACCATAAGGTGAAGAGTGAGTTGAATATAGGACCTACTGCTGTAAAAACAGAGACTGTATCGGGTGAATCTTCACAGTCAACAGATTCTAAAGTAAAGTCTGATAATGGTAAAACAAAATCAGTGTTGGATAAAGTTTACGGATGTGATGTGTGTGGAGAAACATTCAGCAATTATATTACTTTACAAGAGCATGTGGCAGCTCATAATCAGGAAACTAGCTCTGAAGATTGTAACAAGAACTCTCCTGAATCCCAAACGAAGGATTTAAAAGCTTCAACTGGTGAAAAGTCACATAGCTGTGATGTGTGTATGAAATATTATGCAACAGCTGGGGGACTAAAATTACACTTACTTACACATATGGAAGAAAAGCCATATAGCTGTGACATGTGCAAAAAAAGTTTTAGTACAAAGTATAGATTGAAAGAGCACATGCGTATATATATTAATGAAAAGCCGTTTGTGTGTAATGTGTGCAAAAGAGGTTTTAGTAGAAGCCAGCAGTTGAAACGGCACTTCCTTACACACACTGGGGAAAAGCCGTACACTTGTGATTCATGTGCAAAATGTTTTAGAACAGCCTGGCAACTAAAATTACACTCTCTTACACATAGTAATGAAAAGGCGTACAATTGTGACACATGTACAAAATCTTTTAGAACAGCCGGTCAACTGAAAATGCACTTCCTTACACACACCGGTGAAAAGTCATACACATGTGACTTGTGTAAAAAAGGCTTTAAAAGAAGCGACCAATTAAAACAGCATTACCTTACACATTCCGATGAAAGGCCGTATAGCTGTAAAGTATGTGCAAAGGGCTTTAAATCAAGTGCATCAGTAAAATTACACATGCTTACGCATACTGGTGAAAAGCCGCATAGCTGTAATTTGTGTAAAAAAAGTTTCACAACAAAACAGACTTTGAAACATCACTTGCTTTTACACACTGGTGAAAATGCAAACCAGTGTGATGTGTGTAAAAAATCTTTTACAAAAAGATTTGGTTTGACTCGCCATTTGCTTACACACACTGATGAGAAACCACAGTCGTAGTTAACTCTAACCTATATATAGTGATATATAGTATCTATTATAGTTAGTATTTAAATACATATATATTATTGTTAAAGAATATGCTGGACAGATGACATCAACCTGATTCTGTGACTGTTCTGGAACAGGGTTGCAGAAGACAGAGTTCAGTGGAGAGAGCTGAAGGAGGCCTGCCAAAAGGCACACCGATTTGTGCTACATTTTGTAAACATCAAAATGTACCCCAACTTTCAGAAAAAAGGGCTATATTATTATTATTATTATATTATTGTTATGTAAGCATATAAGTATTGACACATTTACCTACGTTAGGTAAACCAAAAGAAGGCTTTGTCCCATTACTGCCGGAACAGAAGGTGGTTCAATAACTTTGTTTTTATCCTACTATCAAACCATTGCTAGTAGAGAATGCCATATGGCATATGGCATAAGCTCTCCAATTGTACATTTATTCTAAAAAGTGCAATAAAGAATAAATTAATAAAATAATTGCAATGTGTGTGGTTTTAAAAGACAACATGAGTCAACACAAGACTTGATTTCACATAGTGGAAACAGAATAAATAAAAGCCAGTAATGAGTACTTAAGTATTTTCTGAAATCCATTTCGGTTGATTATAACAAAAAAAACTATTAAAATTATACCAGATAAACTTACTGTTGTTCAGAGAAAATTATAGCATAATATAACAGTAGTAGAAGACTGCACTACAATGTTATTTTCTCTCAAAATACAGTAAAAAGTACAAAAAGTATTGTTTAATTATTAAAAATATTTTTTTGTACCAGAACATAATTTAAATGTGTGTAAATCTGTTTAAATAGGTAAAATAAATAAAAAAGATATATCAGTAGAATCTACATCGTGTACATTTTATACCTCATTTTTCACAAGGTAATGTTATCAACCAGATAAGTTATCTTGTATGTATTATTTGTATTTCATTAATTACAATGTAAATTTCAAGAATTAAAAGGTGCTACGGGTTTGGAAGCTCTAAAAGGGTATTACGTAGTTTTATTTATAATTATAAAATAAAAATTCCTGATTTTTGCTTGTTCTTAATTCTGATATCTTATATCCGAATGATATCCGCTTGCGCGTATGGTATACACTGACGGGGCACCAGAATTGGATAATTGCAACTGGACGTCTCTAAACTGTCTGAAGTCTGAGTCCTGTTTTGACTCGGTTCAGAGACGTTCTAATTTCTATGCATAATAAACATGACTCAAGTTAACTCGAGCTGAAAAAAAATTTTTTTTTTATTATTCAAACTATTCCAATGTTAAAGGCCGCAGCTGACCTTGAACCATAGGGGGGAGTGGAAATGGCACTCCAAATCCGTGGAAGGACTGTCAGGTCAACTAAAAAGGTTTTAATATATTTCAATAACGAGCTCGTATTTCCTAAATGTTTAAAATGAATCCGAGAATTTCTAACATTTTACACGTTCAATCACTGGCGGTTCGAAAATGTTCCAAACAAGGGATTTCCTCTTAAGACCCGGCATTTTGAATAAAAATAGCATAATATGATCGAAGAACTTCATGTCATTATTTTTACCGGTTTCATTAGGTCCATGCTATGGCGGGAGTATCTACTAAGGCTCACCGACGAACTCAACGACAGAATCACGCTCTCGCTCTTTCACTTCATTTTGTATGTTCAATATAGATATACAATAGGGTTCATTTCCCGAATTTCCCGGGAATTCCCGGGAATTCCCGAGAATTCCCGGGAAATTCATGGGTTTTGTTCCCGGGAAATCAAGCTCGAGAAAAGTCGAGAACTCGAGAAATCATGTACCTATATAGAAATTAAATTGCCCTTTGTTTTCTTGCGTGGCGGCGCAATAATTTAAGATATTAACGTTTTTATTTTCTTTCATGTTATTTTTTTATTTTGTAGAAACTATTTTTGTTTACATTGTTTTTTTTTATCTAAATAAGCAGCCAAAAATGGTGCTATCATTATAAATATAAGTCTGAATAATTAGGTCCTAAAAAATTGAAATTGGCGTTTTGTAAGGGAATAACCTAAAGTTAAAGTAAATAATATATAAAATATATTTATTTAATCAAAGTATGTACCATTTCTATTTATGCACTTTTGCCTTTTGTTTTTGCACTTTGGACTGCCCCATCGGAGTGTAATTTTATCCCTTGCAAGAAGTTACCGAATTTCGAAAAAAAATGGTAATCTGTTGGAGCAAGGTCCGGGAAGTGCTGTCTGTTGTGCACTATGTGGTCAAGCGTTCTTGGCGATTGACCAGCTTCGGTTGTTTAGCAGCTAGCTTTTCCATCATGGTTTCTCAATTGCTGACAATACACATTTGCCGTAATCGTCTAGCCAGATTTAAGAAAGCTGAAGTGAAGAACACCGTAAATAGTCCACCAAACGTTCACAAGTAACATTTTTTGAGCCATATTTCGCTTGGGGCAGGATTTGGTTGGTTCGCCAGGGTTTAGCCATTGCAATGAGCGTTTCCGATTATCGTACAAGATCCACTTTCCACCACAGGAAATGATTTGATTTAAAATCCCTTCATTATTATGCCGGTTGATTAATGTAACGCAGCAGGCTACGCGCGTACGTCGATTTACTCCATTGAATTCATGAGGGACCCACTTTTCAAGCTTTTTTTTTTTATAACACAGGGGACAAACGAGCATGCGGCTCACCTGATGGTAAGTGATTACCGCCGCCCATGAGCACCCGCAACATCAGGGGAATTGCAAGTACGTTGTCGGCCTGTTAAAAAGGAATAAGCTCTTTTCTTGAAGGTTTCAATATCGTATCGGTTCGGAAATACCATTGCTGGAAGGTGATTCCACAATGTGGTTGTGCGAGGCAAAAAGTTTCTAGAAAACTGTACTGTGGAAGACCGCCATTCATCCAGATTATCAGGATGGTATTTCAGTTTCTGGCGGGTGGTACGGTGGTGAAACTCAGCAGCTGGTATTAATCCGAACAATTCCTCAGAACACTCCCCGTGATATATGCGGTAGAAAATGCACAGAGATGCAATATCTCGCCGCAAAGCCAATGGGTCGAGTCTGTCACATAGACATGATTACCAATGATTCTGGCTGCTTGGTTCTGAATGCGGTCAAATGGAAGTAGCTGGTATTGTGGTGCTCCGGCCCAGAGATGAGAACAGTATTCCATATGCACTACTAAGCACACCAAGCTTCTTTGAGGCTATTTTAGCCTTGTCCTCCAAATGACCGCAAAACAACGTCACTTGATATATCAACGCCAAGGACTCAATAATTTCGTCGGGACAGGATATTTGCGTCTCCGTAAGGAAGAGCAAAGCCGGCCTCGCCGACTCTAGATGGTGGTGAACGGCGTTGAGATTAGAATGAATTCCCCTGATGTTGCAAAAACTGACTATGAGCAAAGAAAACGCCGATGGAGATTTGCTCGGTTTCCTTCTGGCCAAATTGAGCGGAGAATTGCCCACCCCAGAATACGCAGGGCAGCCTGAGTGTGATATCTCAGGGTTGGATTCTCCAGTAACATGGTTACTGGTACCACCCTGGGGTAAAAGCTTTTTCGTCTTCCCAATTTGCTAAAGGATTAAAACAGTTTTGTCACTAACACCGCAGCTTGCAGCTAACTCGGACGGGTTTGCGATGGATCCGCTTCCACAATAGCCTTCAATTCTTCATTATTAACCTTGGATTCCGGCCGCCCACGGAGATTGCTTTGCAGGTCGAAATTTCCAGAACGAAAACGTTGTAACCAAAAATGCACGTGTTTTCTTTTGCGAGACCACTGCCATACACATCATTAATACTTCGAGCCGTTTAGCACCGTGTAGCACTGGTGCCACAGCGGAACTCGTACTCGTAAATAACGCGATATTTTAAGTTTTTTCATTTTGTATGCTGTGAGTGACCCAAAGTGAATAGCTGTATAAATTTGGAAATGAAATTCCTAACCAAAGAGGAGATATTTGAGATCAAAGTGACCAGTACCACAAAACGCCAATTTCATATGTAAGGATCTAATATTATTTCTCTATTTAAAAAAATAATAATTTATACATATGTAATATTAATGTTTTTAAATATACTCAAAAGTTTAATTTGATACTTTTATTTGAGAGGAAAACCACTGAATTTTTTGACGTTATTGGAACCAAATAATATGAGAAAACGTACGTAAATGTAAATTTCTCGACAACCCGAGAAGACCCGAGAAATTGACCTCGAGAATTCTCGAGACCCGAGAAATTGAAAAGCTCGAGAAATCATGAACCCTAATATACAAATATGATATTCAATATACATATATAATACACAACGGACTATGTTCTGATAAATTGTACCATTCGGCTACTATTCACCGTCGCACCGCTCGCCATCGACAGGAAATTGATCCTTACATACTGGAACATAAGTGGTCTCGGACATCAATAAACGCTGTATAGGGTACATATTATTATTTAGTTATTGGACATCCAAATCTAACCAATGTCTAACATTTTTTTATTGTTGTACAATTCCAAGATTTTTAAGATAGGCAACCCTTATAGGCTGTACGTCAACGTACTTGAATGAATTAAAAAAATCCACAGAGTACACATAATGTAAAAAAAAAAACTTAAACAATAATATAACCTCAAATCTATATGCAATTATTGAATATTTTAATATTTGTTTTAAATTTTAATTTACGTTGTTAAGAAATGTCAGTAGATGCATATTTTTGCTTTTGCTGTTTATCCACAGAGGAGCTTAGCAGTTTATTTGTGTTCGAAAATAATGTGAATTACCTGGAAGTTTTAAAGGAGATCTTTTTGATTAGTGTATGTACAATTAATAATAATATATCAGGACAATTCACACAGCGCCATCAATTAAATAAATTTAGAACACCCTATTTGGAGTAGGTTATCTATACATATAAATAAAATTGGAGTGTCTGTTTGTGATATTGAAATAACCGTTTTTTACTGTTTACTATATGAATATGAATATAAATACGGTACATACACCAAAATAACATTTTTTACAATTTTTGTCCGTCTGTCTGTTTGTTCCGGCTAATATCTGAAATGGCTAGACCGATTTTGACGGAACTTTTATTGGCAATAAGGAGTAACTTGGCTACTTTTGTTTTAGAAAAATAAAGTTAAATTCCACGCGGACGAAGTCGCGAGTACAGCTAGTTGGCAATAAAATTTTGAGGGACAAATATGCTTGCGGCTCACCTGATGGTAAATGATTACCGCCACCCAGGAGTACTTTCAATACCTGCTGATTTACAAGTGCATTGCCAGCCATTTAAGAAGGAATAACCTCTTGAACCTCAATGTCATATTGTGCAAATAAACTACTTGCTGAGGTTTTCTCGAGAGATTACAGCATGGAGTTTTCCAAGAAGGGTATATTAAGGTTTATTAAGGGTCGGCAACTCCCACATGTCTCCTCTGGTGTTTCTACTTTACTTATCCATTTTTTTGACTACTCTAATGCTGTTGGGCGCAGCCATTAGCCATTACAGCTTCACCGGACCATAGGGACAAGTGCAGATGCCACTTCAAACACATGGAAGGACTTATGGAGCAGCTAAAGGCCCACTGCCGCTTGACGTTTACAACTTTAGTCTGAGGGAACCACTAGGGGTTTGAACCTCGGCTCAGACTGTCGTAATTTCGATCCCCATTTGAATTGGACTGGGGATCGATCGGAGGGGCAGTACAACCTTGGTACAGTTAACTATAAGCAGCCGCGAGGGCCCTGGACTGGTCGGCCTATTCCTACAGTGGCATTGTTCGTAGTAATTGCCACGTATGTGTATTTTTAGCTGTCCACAGATTATTATGAAGATGATACTTATATATGTGGCATATGTGCCAACACATTGAAAGATGCAGTTAACTTCAAGAACCAAGTCCATGAAACATTGAATGTGTTATCTAATACTGGATGTGAGTACCTATAAAATAAAATATAACAGCCTCAATGATCTAGTGGTTTACCACATCACTTTACTACTGATGGGTGCGGGTTCAATTCCTTGCATGATACAAACATTTGTATTCTTGAGTATAATTGATTATCCATCTGGATGTTATCTATGTCAATAAAGATTGTGACAGCCTCAGTAGTCTAGCTGTTTACCACATCACCTTACTACTTATGGGCGCAGGTTCAGTTCCTGAATACAAATTGTATTCATGAGTATGATTGATTATCTGTCTGGATGTTATCTATGTATATCTTTGTTATGGATGATAATGGAATGATGCACTGTCTATGTTGGCAGTAAACCAGTAGAGGATAATAAGATGAGGTCAGGTCATTTGGCCCAAACTGGTAAATTCACCATGAATTTATCATGATGGTTTCCAGGATCAAACTGACATGGTACATTGCAGTCTACATTACACATTCCTTTCCCCTATTTAAGTATATTATGTATGTATTTAAAAAAAATATATCTATATATTTATATGAGGCTAGTCTCTGTTATTCTAGTACCCATATTACAAGTTCTGCTTATCTTGTTACTAGATGGCGCTGTGTGAATTGTCCTGAGATATTTTTAATATGTCCAAAAACAGCTACAGCTGCAAGTGCATTTTTTTTTCAATATTCCCTTCTTTTATGTTTTAAATTTTGATTTGATTAACAGCCTCGGTGGTCTAGTGGTTTAGCATACCACTTTACTATCCTATGGTCGCGGGTTCAATTCCTCACACTGTACAAAAATTGGTATTTATGAGTATTAAAGTTTGTGTCGATCTGGGTATTTTCTATGTATAATAATATGTTTACAAAAAAAATGCATATATGTATTTATATCAGTTGTCTAGTACCCATAACACAACCTCTGCTTAGCTTGGGACTAGATGGCGTTGCGTGAATTGTTCTAAGATATTGTTATTATTATTATTATTTAATTTAGGTAGGAAAGAAGTATTAATGTAAAATATTAATAAATTATACATATATTTAATTTCTTATTTATTTTAATTTAATTTAATAATGAGTGCATAGCGATATGTTGATTATCACATGCCTCTTACTTGTTATACTGCAATTATTATATAAAAAAAACATCTATTCAAAAGAGCAACACACAAGTTTCTTGCTAATTCTTCTTGTGTTGAATCTGCATTCCAAATGAGTGGTAGAATCAAAATATGACTATTCAAAAGTGCCTGTAATGAGTTTATTTGAATAAAGATTATTTCTATTTCTATTTCTTTCCAGTGATAGAAATAAAAAATGACAATGGTAGTATTTTAATAAACAAAATCAATGAAGATTTCTCCAGTTTTGATAATAAATCAAGTTTCGATGATGTCGATGAGTTGCATGGCAGTTGCATTGATGGAGAAGTGAAAGGTAAGTTTTCAAAATGATTTTAGACTATAATGTGGCATGTGCTCTGTTTGTACCAATACTGGTTATATTGTTATACATCAATATTGTGCATCTGTGGTGCATTACGTTTGCGCGGGAAAAAAATAAAAAATACCATCTTAAGGTGAGTTTATATTTGTCTGATATGTCGTGACGTGTCGTGTCGTGTCGTGAAGTGTCGTGACGAGTCGTGACGTGTCGTGACGTGACGTGACGTTATAACAAATTTTCACATTTGTATGTGATTGTAAGTAATGTGGACTGATGACCCTATTGCTAGCAATGTACCATGGTTACTTCCACGCGGTTCCCCCTGGTGATAAGTTCCTGGTGAATTTGTCACAATGTGCTAACTGACCTGACCTCATGTTCATCCTATCATCCTCCATTGGTGCCCCGCCAGCGTAAACCATTAGCGCAGGCGGGAGCACCATTCCATTATCCATTAAAAAATATATTTCATTCACAGACTTTGAACCAGAGACAATAAAAAAAGAAAATGCAGATTCAAATAACGAACGGAATTCGAATATTCGAACCCAACTAGAAAGAGACAAAGATACAATTTATATTGATAAAAGAAAGGGACAGGATGTGAAACAGGAAGTTTATTATGAAGTGGCGGCGGATTTGAAATGTGGTATTTGCTCTATGGTGTTACCGAACGTGTATGTCTACCATTCACATATGAATCAACATTTTCCTAATCATATATGCGAGTCCTGCGGAAAAGGTACATATTTGGTTATTTATCACTAGCTGTGCCCGCGACTTCGTTCGCGGGGTTATCAAAAACACTGTCGCGATTTTTTCCCAATTTTCGCAACATTTGTCACTGATGGTTCGCTCCTATTGGTCGTAGCGTAATGTTATATAGCTTAAAGACTTCCTCAACAAATGGACTATCCAACACAAAAATATTTTTTCAATTCAACGGGTGCTGATTGAGGGTAAGGTCTGTTCATGTTACGAACACTGATTAGATTATTTGCTTTTGACAATATTGCAATATATTATGTGCCCATAACACAAGCTTTGGCTAGCTTAACTTGGGACTAGATGTTGCTGTGTGAATTGTCCTGAGATTATTTTTATTATATGTATGTATTTACAAAAAAATATATCTAAATATTTGTATCAGTTGTCTAGTACCCATAACACAAGCTTTAGCTAGCTAAACTTGGGTCTAGATGGCGCTGTGTGAATTGTTCTGAGACTATTAAGTAAGGAGTGATATTCTCAAAACAAAAGTTTTAAGTTTTCCTCTTTACCCACAGGTTTTTTAACAGAAAAAGGACTGAAGCGACACATGCCCTAGCCATAACACAAGCTTTAGCCAGCTAAACTTGGGTCTAGATGGCGCTGTGTGAATTGTCCTGAGATTATTATTAAGTAAGGAGTGATATTCTCAAAACAAAAGTTTTAAGTTTTCCTCTTTACCCACAGGTTTCTTAACAGAAAAAAGACTGAAGCGACACATGCCGTCCCATAAGAAGGGACCTTTCAAATGTGATGATTGTGATACAGAATTTACGAATATCAACTCACTGGGATCACATAGGTTAGTTGCTAATATTTTTTTTTTTGTGGATGATAATGGAATTGTGCACCCGCCTGCGCTAACGGTTTACGCTGGCGGGGCACCAGTGGAGGATGATAAGATGAGCATGAGGTCAGGTCAGTTAGCACATCGTGACAAATTCACCAGGAATTTAACACGATGGTTTCCAGGGGGAACCACGTGAGTCGCTAATATTGTAATATGGTTGTTTGCCACCATCATAGTATGAATATACGTTGGTGGGCACCAGTAGAGGATAAGATGAGCATGAGGCCAGGTCAGTGAGCACAACGTGGCAAATTGACTAAGAACTTACTACCTGATTGATTGATTATGTCCTAAAATGGAAATAAAGTTGGCAACACATCTATTGTCATATCTCTCTGTACAAAACTCATTATGAACAATAAACGACTTTAAATTTGTAATTCTTTATTTAAATCAAGTAATGATCGCATTGATCAGATTTCGAACAACAGTTTAATAAAAAAATACATGTGTCTCAGCAAGCCAAAAAGGCACAAATCAGAATATCCATTAGAGTCGGAACAGAGTAGGTTGGTAAGAATTTATAGGGTATTTTTATGAAATAAAACAAATAGCATCGTGAAATTTCAAATGTACATGTGTATTTTCATTTATAAAGGTTACATTATTTTTTTTAAAGAAATGGAATTCTTTAATCAAAATAATGATTGAATAATAATGAATGAACATAGAGAGATGCTTGTATAGACGTTTATTATAGCAGAGCGCAGTGACAGAAGTGTATAAAACAAAATGTATATACAGAACATCATATTTTGAATATAGATAAAAGAATATATCCCTTTCGATGGATCCGCCTTCCAATTCAAACGGGGATCGAGGTTACGACGGCCTGAGTCGAGGTTCGAACCCCTAGTGGCGCCCTCAGACTAAAATCGTATACGTCGGGCGGGAGCTGGCCTTCAGCCGCTCCATAAGTCCTTCCGCGGGTTTGCAGAGCCTGCACTCGCCCTCTATCGTCCGGTGAAGCTGTGAAGGCCAGTTGCAGCCAACAGCATTAAAGTAGTCCGAAAAAAAAAATATAAAAACTACCAGTGATTATCATTGTGTGTCTAACAGATTGTAATATTTTTGTAAATGTAATGTTATATTTATAATTTTTAATTTAAGAGAGAAAGTTTTCGGACTTAGAAGGGTTTCGGATTTCAGAGGTCCTGGTGTACTAATAATCTCCCCTCCTATGTTATTTAACGTTTAAAAGTTTGTGTTGTTGTGTGGTAGGCAGCGTAAGCACGGCTCAGTGCAGCTGTACCGCTGCCCGCAGTGTCCGGAGCGGTTCGCAACACTTTCCCGGCGAGCCTCCCACCGAGCAGCCGCGCACGCAGCCCCACCACCGCGCAGGCAGTGCCGCGCCTGCGGTCGCAGGTTCCTACTCGCCGGTTAACATTTTACATATATACTAGCTGTGCTCGCACATTGTCCGCGTGGAATAGTGACCTTGACCAAATAAAGAAAAAATATTCAATAATGTAACCAAAAATAGCCAAAGAAAAAAATTCAACGTTCTAACTTAAAAAATTACGAATATACAAAAATAAAATAAATATTTTAAGGATAAAATTTTTACTTTCAATCTAATTAACATCCTAAAATAATGCTTTCCGATTGAATGGTAGAATAAAAAAAAATATGACTTTAAAAATGTTTATTGCAATACTATAGAAAATCTGCATAACATATTAATGGAGTGTGTCCGAGATACTGTTAAAAGGGAATTGTTTTTAAAAATTGTAATTAATAATAGAGTAAAAAGATGTCTATTCAAAAGTGCTTATATTAAGTTTATTTGAATAAAGATTATTTCTATTTCGAATTGTTTACGTTACAGGTAACCTCAATGCACACATCCGTAACAAACACATGAAAGTAAAGCGCTACTTCTGTACTGAGTGTGAGGCGGGCTTCTTTTACAAACAAGAGCTCACCGCACACATGGCGTCGCATACTGGCGTCATGCTGTACCAGTGTACGTTGTGCCCTAAAAGGTTTGTAGTCAGAGAGATAACATGAAATACGAACACTGATCAGACTATTTGCTTTTGACTAAATTGCTATAGCATATGCTGGTAAATCAGTATTATTGTAAACATGTACAATATTTGTTTCAAAGGAATACGAGTTGAGTTTCTTGTCAGTTCCTCTCATCACGGAATCATTCCGAACTGACGGTAGTTTTGACATATTATAAGAGTGTAATGAATAAAGATATTTTGAATTTGATAAGATTACAATACTCACTGTTTTGTCATTATTGTAATCTATACATATAAATAAAATTGGAGTGTCTTTTTGTAATATTGAAATAACCGTTTTTTACTACATGCATATGAATATAAATACGGTACATATACCAAATACAAAAATTGTATTTTGGTGTATGTACCATAATCCGGCTAATCTTTGAAACGACTGGCCCGATTTTTACGGGACTTTTTTGGGAGGTAGCTAATGTAATAATTTTTTTTCTAAAATAAGAATAAAAAATAAAGTTAAGTTCCACACGGACGAAGTCGAGGGTACAAAAACTGTTATATCAATATTACAAACAGACACGCCAATTTTATTTATATGCATAGATTATGTTGACTACCTACATATATTATACTACGAAGCGACTCGTCAGCTTGTTTGTATTTTTGTTCATTTACAGTTTTTTTTTACATATTCAGATATCCTCGTAAAAAGGCTTTGAAGGTCCACTTGCGTATACACACCGGCGAGCGACTCTTCTCCTGTGATACCTGCGGCAAGAGTTTCACGCAAAAGTGCACCTTATTGTCGCACGTAAAAACTCATAATAGAAAGGAGAGTAAACAGAAAAAAGTTGCACCTAATATGTGATATGGTAGTATTCCTGTATATAGAGTTCAAGTAGTAAATTATTATTATCTTCTTTAAATCTAACAAAGCGAAAAATGTGTTTATTTAATGAAAATCGTGACAAAGCGACAAATGTGTTTGTTTTATTTAATGAAAATCGTGACAAAGCGACAAATGTGTTTGTTTTATTTAATGAAAATCGTGACAAAGCGACAAATGTGTTTGTTTTATTTAATGAAAATCGTGATAAAGCGACAAATGTGTTTGTTTTATTTAATGAAAATCGTGACAAAGCGACAAATGTGTTTGTTTTATTTAATGAAAATCGTGACAAAGCGACAAATGTGTTTGTTTTATTTAATGAAAATCGTGACAAAGCGACAAATGTGTTTGTTTTATTTAATGAAAGTCGTGACAAAGCGACAAATGTGTTTGTTTTATTTAATGAAAATCGTGACAAAGCGACAAATGTGTTTGTTTTATTTAATGAAAATCGTGACTGTTTTACTTAATGGATAATAATGGAATGGTTCTCAGTTCATAGTGGCAAATTCACTAGAAACTGCTAGAAATGAACCATAAAGGTCTCCAGAGGGGACCCCGTAGAGGTCGACCTAATATAGTACAGTAAGGTATAGGTATAGATACGCTAACGTGGGAGAACTCCTGTGAACTTGCCATACGTCAGAGTTCTGACATCCTATTGAATAGTCACATTTTATATATTTTAGTTTCGATTAAGTAAAAATTTAAAAAAATCATGCGCTAAGTTCACGCAGTTCTCGAAATCACGAAAATCAATACTTTCTTCAGAATTCTAGCTTGCTTTACAACAGTTCTACAGTTCTCTATCAGTTATATCAATAGTTCTAGAAATTAAAACGTAAAATCGATTTTTTAAGATGCCGCGTCCAAATTATAATTCATATAAGAAAAGTGCAACTTCCGACGAGTTCTAGCCGATCTGATAATAGTTCTGGGTAGCATTCTCAGAGTCCTACAGAAAAGCTTCATAACTTTTCCTGGAAAATCATTATTTTGCAAGTAACCTAAGTGCCTAACAATTAACTAGGTTAGGGATATATAATAAATAAAACAAACAAATTCAAAAGCTTATTAATTCTTTCATTTCTTTTAAAACAAAATAACATTTTACGTAATAATTACTGCATAACATCTCGTGAATCATTCACAAGCTTTTAAACTATTACATTTTATATCAATAGATATATATTTAACTTGGTCGGATTACACTTGCCCTCTCTCTCTATCCCAACGTTAGAGAAAGGGATAGCACGATTATAGTCCTATAAAATTATAAAGTCATGACACCAAGTGTACATTGCTCAATAAGCTATTTATATACTAGGAAAAATCTTCAAAAATACATTTTATATGAAGTGGTTAAGATTTATTTTTGTATAAAAACAATATTTCATTGTTGTAACTTACAGCTATTCGGTTTTGATATATTTATTTACATGGGAACCTATAATACATGATCGTCTGTCTCTCTCTATACTATATAAAGAAAAAGGGATATAACACAAAAAGTAAAAATATAAGTACATAACCAAAATTGCATAAGTACTACGCAAATAAGTCGTTTCCTTATTTATAAAAACAGTAAATTAAAACCTCTCAGGAGTTTAAAAAATAAGAATTAATTTCATTCTTAGATGTCTCTTAGGCCGGTAAGATACAGTCGTTTGATCGTAAGGTTGGTCTACAATTGGCGTTTATAATTATTTTGCAAATAAGCGCAGCAGTGACCAAAAGCGGATTGGCATATTTATTCCTTACTTTGTTACACGTTTTTATACTTAATCGGGCGTATTCACGCAACCTGACGACTAACCGAGCGTATGTTAGCAGCCTTATCACTAATGCTATCTCTTCCAGACAATATGATCATGTCTAATAAATAAGTGTTCGACTTTCGACTTATTTTCTTCATTCTGATAGAGGATTTGTAAGAGATTTAGATTTTTATAAACAAGGAGTTAATAATTTTTTACCCGACCAAACCGAAGAAAGTAGGGTAATATGTTTTTTTATGTATAGATATGTACTAGTGTTGTACGTACGTCGTATATAATTTATACTCTTTCAAATTATCTAAAAAGACTACTTTATCCACTGAATAATAAAGTTCATTTTGTTCTACAAAAATATGGTCTACCAATCCCGAAAACACGGGGAAAGTAAGCCTTATAGATTACAAAACGAATCATTCAAATCGAGTTGGAAGATTGATCGGAGACCACAAATATTCAGTGCGGAAACCTGACCACCGCTACTGGAAGCGTTATGACCTTCTCTGATGGCGATCAAATTCAGACCCTTATTGAGTCTACACCCATATTCTTCTGTCTAAGTTAATAGATTTTTGCTTATGGTTTACATTTCACGTTTTATAATTTAAAATATACTGTATTATTAGAACATTCTTGTACATATTAGTTTGTAGCTAGAAATGATATCAATCAAGATTATAATCTTATTAATATTATAAACGCCATAGCTTGTGAGTATGGATGGATGTTTGTTACTCTTTCACGCAAAATCTACTCAACAGATTTTGATGAAACTTTACAGTAATATAGCTTATACATCAGAATAACATATGGCGCGGGCACAGCTAGTTGTAAATAATTATAATCAAGTTTTTTTATCTATCTAATATTAAGGTACTAAAATAGCAAAAATTTGTATTTTTTTTAATATTCAGCACCATTTTCTGATTAAGGCACACGTATTGATATATTTTAGAATTATTATAATTATTTTTTCAATGACAAAGGATCAGTGATATAAATTTGAAGTATTTTCATTCGTTCATTGTTCAAATATGAGTTAAGACATAATGTGACAAATATATTAAAAAGAATTTTAGGATATTTCATAAATATTAGAATTTGCAAATTCTGTCGTCATATTTTTATTTTAATTTGAAAATAAATTCGAATTAACTGAATGATCATTTGATAATTTTATTTAAATAGAATATAATTAATTTTTAAACCACTCGACCGACTGTAACATCTATCATTAAACGTTTTCTACTAATATTACTAAATATTTGTATATAGCAACACTTAAATATAAATTAAAAAGTTAGGTCGCCACACCTCTCAAAAAGTAATTAAAAATCGAATTAGGTGTTGCCATCTAAAGCTAACGGCTTCCTGTTCATGTTACGCACACTTAAGTAACTATGTTGTCATAAGTCTATTTAGTAAACTACTATTGAAAACTACTGTATGCATAGATATCTAAAAACAAGAATACGTAATTCTGATTAATATAGTCAAGTAACTTGTATATAAAGTGCTTACAAAATTATCTGCTATCTCTGCTATAGAGCATTCACATACCTAAAACAATTATTAATTAAAAACAAAACATTTTTGGCTTTGAAAGCCTTAGTGGATTACCAAAATTGTATAATTATTTAATTCATTTGTGTATTAAAATAAATGAAATAAAAATACCTTTATATCAAAATTACATTGAAGTAATTTAAAAAATATATATATAATTTAGGCACTAAGGTAGTTCATTGACCCTATAGAAGTATACCGTTACTGAAAGGTACCAACAGCCGTTTTTAGGTCATTACGGAATATTACATATTTTTGCATGACATGCCCTATAGAGGGAAATGCAGATAATTTGGCTATACTTTTATGTTTGTCTAATAGCCTTAAATTGCATTTCGTACATGCAACCTCTTCTAACTCTTTACTGGCACCATAAGTCGAAACGAGAAAAATGTAGGTTTCGTTTAATTTAAATTATTATTTAGATAAATTAGCTATTTTAATCAGAATTCTGTCATATCTTGTTCTTAGGATTTCATCATGGGTAAATCTGGCAACACTGTAGGAATTTTACATTACAGTGTTGCCGTGGTAGAATTCTACTTTTTTAGTAGTTTTTCTTCTTCCGGATTGGTGTGGTTCTTGTCTGTTGTTTTGAATGTGGCATTTGTGTGCGGGCTGGCAGAAGCTGGTAGGAACTAGAAGAAAAAAAAAAAATTTTAATGCCTCGAAAAACCTCAGCGGTTCAACATACTTCTTTATTTTACAAGTGTGTGTGTGTGCCGAAGTGTCGATACACAAAATTTAAGAAAATTGCATTAATAAGTCTACGTTAGAATACACGGTTCAATACACACAAAATACAAATATTTTAATTAAAAGTGTATTATTCGAATACCTTCTTTCAGTGAGTCAATAAGACAAGTAATATGTTTGACCAAAAACTTGCATAAATATCAGAATACAAACCTAATATCTGGTTTTAGGCACTTCCAAATTCTAGCAGCATGTAAAGGTAAATAATCATCATTAGATATCTATACCAGCATTATAATGAGGGCGGACTTTGACGACAGTTAACTCCACATGCTAGAAACTAAGTGTTATCGGACAACACGCTAGAAACTAAGTGGTATCGGACAACACGCTAGAAACTAAGTGGTATCGGACAACACGCTAGAAACTAAGTGGTATCGGACAACACGCTAGAAACTAAGTGGTATCGGACAACACGCTAGAAACTAAGTGGTATCGGACAACACGCTAGAAACTAAGTGGTATCGGACAACACGCTAGAAACTAAGTGGTATCGGACAACACGCTAGAAACTAAGTGGTATCGGACAACACGCTAGAAACTAAGTGGTATCGGACAACACGCTAGAAACTAAGTGTTATCGGACAACACGCTAGAAACTAAGTGGTATCGGACAACACGCTAGAAACTAAGTGGTATCGGACAACACGCTAGAAACTAAGTGGTATCGGACAACACGCTAGAAACTAAGTGGTATCGGACAACACGCTAGAAACTAAGTGGTATCGGACAACACGCTAGAAACTAAGTGGTATCGGACAACACGCTAGAAACTAAGTGGTATCGGACAACACGCTAGAAACTAAGTGGTATCGGACAACACGCTAGAAACTAAGTGGTATCGGACAACACGCTAGAAACTAAGTGGTATCGGACAGTTCGGTTTCAGAGGAACTTCCTCCTGCGTGTGGAATGAACTACCTGCCGAGGTTTTAGACTAGAAACTAAACGAAGTCCACTGTACGACAGTGGACTTGGTTTTATACTATACACGCTTAAATCTTTTATACTACGCAACGGATTTTAACGTAGTTTCCTAGCAATAGATAGACAGATAATAATTAGAGTGACTCAGGGATGAGTTGATTAGTATACAATAAAGAATAAGAAAAAAGGAAGAAATTAAAAAAAACTGGCATAGTAGTGTGTATTTTAATTCGTAAAAGTTAAAAATTTGTTTACCTGTCGCGGCGGCTTCTCAGGCTCCCTGATGTCCTCCAGGCGGTCGCCTTCGCTCAACAACTGAAATCACAAATATTTTCTTATTCTGTATCCAGAATGGCATAGGGCAAACATCCTATCTGATGAGAAGTCGTAACCGTCCTCATCCTTTGGAAAGTATACACTATGTCCTGAGGAGATAAAAACCATCGCTCCCAAGAATATCCTTCCATTCTTGTCCCTGATAGGTCTAGGTAGCGAACTGTGAAAAAAGAGTCAGCAGTCTTAGCAGGTGCTATATGGTCAGGTGACCATAGTCCATAACCCTTAAAAAACACAATTTTACCTTATCAACTTCGGTGTTAAAGTCAACCGTACCTTATCAACTTCAGGCTCAATCTGCTCGTTGGTGCCTCCTTTGTTGAGAGCGCCCTTCTCCATCAGCGTAGCACGCTTGGCAGCCAAATACATAGTCCTGAAATTGTTAATTTTAAAACATTCATAAATCACCATATCAATTTCAGTAATTTTTACAGCCACCCAAAACAGTTCATCATATTTTTCATTAAATTTCGTATTTTAATTAGGGGTTTGGCATATGGGTTGCCGAAGATTGCATGCTCATTCTCGTAACTCTGAAAAAAGCTTAAGAGAAGCACAAAACAGTTGATCACATTTTAATAGTTAAAATTTCGTGTTTTAATTAGTTGTTCGACATATATGCTGCCAGGGTAGCAGAATTGCTCGCGCATTTCCGTAACTCTGACAAAAGGATAAGAGAAGGAACACTGAGGGTTTTCGCCGGTGTAAGAGTCCGGCAGTACCCGGTCTACTTCCCACGGGCGATCGGCTCTCCATGAGAATACTCACCAAGTAAAGAAAAGGATAGAAATGGATTAGTTTAGAAACCTTTTAATTTGTTTTCAATGGCCTTCAAATAGAAACCTGTTTTTTTATGTTAGTTATTGAAAACTGGTATATCACAAAACATAAGACCCTTCCCAGAACGTTGTCAGACGAGTGAGAAGCATCATTCTATTCTATTCTTATCTACACATATAAATAAAATTGGAGTGTCTGTTTGTGATATTGAAATAACTGTTTCTTACTACATTCATATGAATGTAAATACGGTACATACAACCAAAATAACATTTTACAATTTTTGTCTGTCTGTTTGTTCCGGTTAATCTCTGAAATGGCTGGACCGATTTTGACGGAACTTTTATTGGCAGGTAGCTGATGTAATAAGAAGTAACTTAGGCTAGTTTTATTTTACAAAAATTCTCTAATTAACTTTTTTGTAAAATTCCACACGGACGAAGTCGCGGGTACAGCTAATTCATATATATAATCGTGTATATAACTTACCGCTTTATAGTGAGGTAGTATAACTCCGCGATGGCCTTCACAGAGTAATCAGGCACGAACGAGTGTCGCAACATTGAGTCCATGTTCAAGTTCTGTAACGAACCCAGCGTAGAGGGCGCCGGCGTTTCCGCTGAAGAGCGGAAATAAAACATTTTTATAAAAATAAATAATTCAAAATATAATAATGACAACCCTGGATAATTCACATAGCGCCATCTGGTTCTAAGTTAAGTAGAGCTTGTGTTATGGGTACTAGACAAATAGAAATACTTGAATACATCATTTTTAGTGCTAGCAATGGGGTTACCATTGCTAGCACTATGTTAGGTCGACGTCCATACCAAGGAGGAACCCTCCTGGAAACTATCGTGATAAAATCTTAGTGAATTTGTTACGATGGACTAACTGACCTGACCTGTCCAGACCTCCATTGCGAACCATTACGAACACCCCATCGTCTGAAGGATCACTCTGACTGAAGGACACCCCCCACCCCTATTAAAAAAGGGAGGAAAGGGAAGAATGCACACATCACCTTTGTCACCACTCTGGCGGGGAAACGATCTTTCGAAGGTTTTTTCACCAGGATAAAAGAAGCGGTGATGCCTATATTTCGCTCTCTATATTTGAATCCATTGTCCTCCATTAGGAATCCCACACACCACCTCGTCACTACTCTAGCTGAAGGACGATTTCTTTCCCGCCCTATGAAGAATCCCACACATCACCCTTGTTACCACTTTTGCGGGGGAACGGTCTTTCGAAGGTTTTTCCCCCAGCATGAAAAAAAGCGGTGATGTCCATATTTCGCTCTCTATATCTAAATCCACTACGATTTATTAAGAATCCCACACATCACCCTTGTTACTACTCTGGCGGGAGGACGGCTTTTTCCTCCTATTAAAAAATGAAGGAAAGGGCGATCCTACCGCCGTGTCTGGGATAATTGGTTTGTTATCGACCTTTCCATTACTGGATATATTTCGCTCTCTATGTTTGAATCCATTGCGATCTATTAAGAATCCTACACATCACCCTTGTCGCCACTCTGGTGGGACAGCGGTCTTTCGAAGTTTTTTCCCCAGGATAAAAAAGAAGAATGTGAAGAATTCCACACATCACCCTTGTTACCATTTTTGCGGGGGAACGGTCTTTCGAAGGTTTTTTCCCCCAGCATGAAAAAAAAGCGGTGATGCCCACATTTCCCTCTCTATATTTGAATCCATTGCCATCCATCAAGAATCTCACACACACCCTCGTCACTACTTTGGCGTAAGAACGGTCTTTCGAAGTTTTTTCTTACTATTAAAAAACGGAGAAAAGGGGGCCTACCACCATATCTTGGATAAGTTTTGTTATCGACATTTTCATTACTAGCTACTTAGAAATATATTTTTCTTCACCATGAAGAATCGAAACTTACCAAGTCCCACATTCTGCGTGAGCGCTTGCACGCCGAAGTACGTGAAGGGTCCAGCTTCGAAGACGAGGTTCTCCCGACCGACCGTCACCTCCACGCGGCCCTCCAGGATCAGCACGAAGTAGTCCACCTAAACAATAGCATAATAACTCAAGACAATTCACACAGCGCCATCTAGACTAGACAACTGATAGTACTGAAATGCATTTTTTTGTAAATCCTTACTAATATTTTAAATGCGAAAGTAACTCTTGTCTGTCTCGCTTTCACGCCAAAACTACTGAACCAATTTAAATGAAATTTGGTACACAGATAGCCTAGACCCTGAAAAAGGGTTGAAAGGGGAGATAAAAGGTTGTACGAAAATATCGTAAAACCAGAAGCTTGAAACTTATTTTTTAGGCTGTTGATTAAATTTAAATAAATAAGACATCCAAAGTTTGTAAAAATTTTACCCTTAAGACCTCTAAATTCTTATTAATTCTAATATAGTACAGTCTAAAGTTCTAAGTTCTAAATCAAATCAATTCAAAATATCTTTATTCATGTAGGTCTATTACAGACTCTTATATGTCAAATATACCGTCAGTTCGTAGTGCATTCGAGCTGGGGAAAACTTAAAAGAAACTCAGCTCTTATTCTTTTCAATTGTGCTTGTAGATGTTTAAAAAAAATACAGATACATTTTTTAATTCAAGAGTGACCACGAGCCTTTACTAGAGCAATCTTGTCAAAAGGAAACGGTAGACCATTTCCTTTAGCCATTGTTAATCAGTGGCCGTAACCCGAACAGACCAGTCCCTACAAGCAGCACTCGTTCACGAGTATGACGAATGAGGCAGCCATCATTGCACTCAACTCACCGGCTTTCCCTCTTGAAAGACGAAGCGTTTCGGGTCATTCTTGTCCTCGTCACCTCGCAGCTTGATGTGCTGGATCACGTCCTGTTTCAGCAACCGGCGGAGTACCGTCTCGGAGATCAGCTCGGGCCGGAACGGGTCCACGCCTGATGATGTGCAGACAGTAGTGATTACCATCCAGTGAAATTATAGGAAATTATATTATGACATTGTAGTCCCGAGGAATAGCAATGCATATCTGTGGTACTGTTCATTTACCGTTACCACTTACCATCAGATCTCTCATAAGCTTATTTGTCATTATAATTACATAATAAATACAGAAACGAAGTAGTAAAGCAGCGAAACTAATTTAAAAGTACCAGGACAATATGAATTTATAGACAGTTTCATGAGAGATATGAACTGCGTAATTATATTGTACGGAGACAAAACCGTAGAACACACGTGTGTTATATGATGATATCTGTAGTGCTGTTCATTTGTATAGGCGACGGTTGCCACTTATCATCAATCGGCTTATTTACCATATTTATTACATAAAATATATATAAACAGTAGTAAAGAAGCGAATCTACATTTAGAAGTACCAGGACTATATGAATTTATAGGCAGTTTGAGGAGTGAGATATGGACAGTGAAATTACAGTGTATGGAGACTTGGCATTGCAGTACTACAGAAAATCAACGCGTGAAGGATATGTCATATTATAACGTAATGTCCTTAGTGCTGTTCAAATACTGACTGTTACCACTTACCATCAGGTTTAAGCTTATATGCCATCATAATTACGTTAAAAATATATAAATCACGTAGTAAAGTGAATCTACATTAGAAGTACCAGGAGAACATGAATTTATAGACAATTTGCAGAGTTAGAAATGGACAATGAATCCACTGAATACGGAGGGACATCATGGTTTTTCGGAATGGCAGCAACGAAATTTGCTGTTCATATAGGCGACTGTTGCCACTTATCATCATCATCATCGCCCATTATTATTTACATATATAAATATATATATAAACTATAATCAAAATGATAAACAAGAAGCGAAACTACATTAAAAGTACCAGGACAACATAAATTTATAGACAGTTCCATGAGTGATATCACATGATGACGTAATTTTCGTAGTGGTGTTCATGTACATAGGCGACGGTTACCACTTACCATCCGATCGTGCATCAGCTAACAGTGACACAAAAGTCCTTTTTAAAAGTCGGTTATAGACAACGATCATATCAGACCAACAAAACGGTGAAGACTCACTGGTGTTGAGGAACTGGAAGGTGGCCAGCACCAGCTGCGGCGACACGTGAACACGCTGCTGATGGTGGTGGCTGGCGAACGCGCCCAGGTCCTGGAACTTGTTCAGTGGTCGCGCCAGACGCTTCTTGGTACGGTTGTCACCTGTCAATATAAATTTTATTTAATATATGTATTTAAATAATATTATAAACGCTAAAGTTTGTAAGTATGGATGTTTATTACTCTTTTACTCAAAAATTACAGAACAGTTTTTGATAAAACTTTACAGTAATATATCTTATAACATTAGAATAACATTTAAGGTATAAATTTCACGCGGGTAAAACCGCGAGCACAGTTAGTCAAGAATAGAAAATAAATATACAGACAGTTTGCAGAGTTAGATATGGACAGTGAATCCACTGAGTACGGAGGCACATCATGGTTTTTCAAAATGGCAGCAACGAAAGTTGCTGTTCATATAGGCGACTGTTGCCACTTACCATCATCATCATCATCGCCCATCAGTTTATTTACCATTACAATTAATTACATAAACTATAATCAAAATGATAAACAAGAAGCGAAATTAAATTGAAAGTACCAGGACAACAGAATTTATAGATAGTTTGGAGGATTACATATGTACATAGTCTATATCTATACATATAAATAAAATTGGGAGTGTCTGTTTGTAATATTGAAATAACTGTTTTTTACTACATGCATATGAATATGAATATGGTACATACACCAAAATAACACTTTACAATTCTTGTCTGTCTGTTCTGGCTAATCTTTGAAATGGCTGGACCGATTTTGACGTGAATTTTATTGGCAGGTAACTGATGTTAAAAGGAGTAACTTAGGCTGCTGCTGCTTTTATTTTAGAAAAATGAAATTTTAATTCGACGCGGTCGTAGTCGCGTGTACAGTTAGTTATAATTTGTCAATGGTTGTGTACTCACTGATGACGTCAGACTCGTCGACGATCTCCGCCTGTATCATCTCCTCGATGACGTCCTCGAGCGTGACGAGACCCACCGTCTCGTAGACGGGATCGCCGTCGCCTTCCTCGATGCGTTGCACGAACGCCATATGGCCTTTGTGACCTGACGAAAGCCAATAAATATATCTATATAATAATAAATAAATCTATACATATATATATATCGTCGGTTAAATAGAAAAATGGCAATAATAAAAATGTACATTTTATACAAGCAAGCAATTTAAAGTTTTTTTTTCTTAAATTTATTGAAATTATTTTTCCCTTAAGTTTTAAATTTACACAGAAGTATTGTATATCATTTTTAATTTAATTGACTTATAAAAGGTTATAAAAGGAGGCACTACTAGCTTCAAATTTTGAAAATGTCATTTTTAAAATTAGAAGCTAAAAATGAGTTGCTGTTCATTAGTCTCGCTAAAACTCGAGAACGGCTGAACCGATTTGGCTAATTTTAGTATTAAAATATTCGTAAGTCCAGGGAAGGTTTATTCGGTGATAAAATACGAAGAAATTTCATGGAGAATAGTAAAAACAACAATTTTATTTTCCCATTATTTTACAAAAGAGGGCCATTCGATATTTATGCGTAATTACACATCAAAACTCATTGCGAGATTTTAAGGCGGAATCAAATATACTCACCGTTGCTTCTAAATAATAAATAACCCTGAAAATTAACATCATGCGCCAACTAGTCCCATAAGCAGAGCTTGTGTTATGTGATTGCACTGATATAAACACTAGATACTTTTTTTGTAAATAATAATAAAAACCCTGATTTTAACACAGTCCATCTAGTCCCACGCTAAAGTTAGAGCTTGTTTTATGGCAATTGCGTAAGGATTTAAACATTAGATACTTTTTTTGGTAAATAATAATAAATCTCAGGACAATTCACACAGCGCCATCTAGATCCAAGTTAAGCTAACTAAAGCTTTTGTTATGGGTACTAGACATCTTATATAAAAACTTAAGATTTTTTTGTAAATAAATACATAATATACATAGAAAACACCCGCACAACAAACAATCATACTCATGAATACAAATGTTTGTACCCTGCGAGGAATCGAACCCGCGACCATATGAAGTAAACTGGTGCGTTTAACCGCTAGACCACCGAGGCGGTAATTTTAATCACATCAAATTTATGTATTACTCATTCAATATTAATAAACGGATGCGAACAAATTGTACTCTTGCCAAATCTGCCAGACAGTGAAATATTTGAGTTGAAGGGCACCCAACGTGAATCATTCAAGGCATGATAATGGTATGGTGCACTCCCCTGCGGGACACCAGTGTATGATGATAAGATGAGAATGAGATCAGGTCAGTTAGCCCATCGTGACAAATTTACTGGAAGTTTATCACGATGGTTTCCAGGGGGGACGGCGTGGAGGTCAACCTGACATGTTACATTTGTTGATTAATAACTACGGGTATTAATAAATGTATGTAATATTTATTTTACTTATTTAAAGTATATATATCTATCACAATTCCACTTATTAAAAGACACAACTGGCACGTTCCGTTGGTTACCAGAATGCCGTGGCTATAAAAACTTTTTTTTTGTAAATAAATACATTGCTATACATAGAAAACACCCGCACAACAAACAATATACTCAGATGAATACAAATGTTTGTAGCGGCTGAAGGCCAATCGAACCTGACGGATACGACTTTATGAGGGCACCACTAGGTGCGTTTAACCTCGGCCAGAGGTCGGTAATTTTATCACATCAAATTTATGTATTACTCATTCAATATTAATAAACGGATGCGAACAAATTGTACTCTTTTATACCAAATCTGCCAGGCGTGGGGATGTTATCGAATTCAGTAATAATCAAAGTACCTCCGTGAAATAAATTAAAAAAATGTATGCCTTTGCAATGTCGGATGCAGAGAATCATGTATGATGATTTAATGAGAACTGGTATTCTTCCGTTGCCTTGTATGTATATATTTGATATCTGCAAGTTTATGAAACAACATCCGGGGGGACTTGTTTAGCACACATGATCAGATAAAAGACTGATTCAATCACAGAGAAGAAATAAAATATTGGTAAAATTTAATTTTACGCTATTTAAAGGATATATATCTATCACAAAAAATCTTTAATAAATTACCAACTGGACTTGAGAAAAATGCCCCTAAATAAATTAAAAAATCGATTATATTACTATTGCTGTTGACAAGTGTTTTTATGACATCAAAGAATATTTATCTGATGATTGTTGACTTTTTTTTTTTTTTTTATTACTATATAATTAGAACCTGGCTCAGACATTAATTTTAAATTATAATATTATAAATTATTCCATTTTAATATACCCAAAATTTGCATCGATCGTAAATTGGGGCAATTAAACAGGCTCACAATAATATTATTATACCAAGGACATATTATAATATCTAATAATAATCAAATAAATAAAATAAATTTCCTTTTTTCAATGTTTTAAATTATCTATTTTTTCGCCAATAATGACTTGAACCCTAACACATTGCAATGGAGAAATGTGAATCATTAGAACGGCCTATATACATGATGGGACTAAGGATACCACGTTATCACGTCATGATATCGTTTGTGTATTGTCATTTCGGAGGTTGATGATATCATGCCACTTATTTTTGTATGTTACAGAGCAAGCTGCTTGTTGAGCTGAAGAGGAAACGTCACTTAACACCCTATATAGTTGTAGCCCACTCATGCATAAACGAAATATCTCCTTTGGAAAGTTTACACTCTTTCCCGAGGAGAAAAAAACCACCGCTCCTAAGAATATCCTTGTCCTTGTCGTGTTGTTGCTCAATTCTTGTCCCTGACGGGTCTAGGTAGTGAACTAGCGAAAAGGGCGAGCACAAGAGATCTATATAGGTCGCAGTGCTACAGGTCTTAGCACCTGACTATAGCACATTCCTTCCCTCTTATTACTACATTCCTATCCTTACATCTTACTATTTCTTATTCCCTCTAAAAAACGCTGTTTGGCGGCTGAAGTAGGTGAAACTAAGGTACACATGCAGACGAGTTTTTACAATTTTTCTTCGTCTGGATCAACAATTGCCACACTTAATATTGTATAAACAAATAAATAAAATAGTTACCTTCCTTGACCTGCTTCAGCATCACGTCGAGGGTGACATCCTCAAAAACAAAGGTGCAAGGGTTCTGATAGTACTAGCAGAGCGTACGCAGGGGAGTGATGTCGTCGGGGTCAATGAACGATAGGTACTTGATCATCATTACATAGTATAAAACAAAGGCGCTGTCGCTGTCCGTCCCTATGTATGTTTAAATCTTTAAAACTACACAACGGATTTTGTAGCGGTTTTTTTAAATAGATAAGTGACTCAAGGGGATGGTTTATATATATAACACATGTACACCCGTGCGAAGCCGGGCCGGTGGCTAGTATTGTATAAATAATTAACAGGTACCTTCTTTGAACTGCTTCAGCATCACGTCCAGGGTGACATCCTCGAAGACAAAGTTACAAGGGTTCTGGTAGTACTGGCAGAGTGTTCGCAGGGGAGTATTGTCGTCGGGGTCAACAAACGCCAGGTCCTTGATGAACAGCACCGTGATGATGTTTCCGCGGGTGCCCTCGTACACTGGTATTCGGGAATAACCTGTAGGAACAAGTCTCATATTATTCTCTTTGTAAAGTACTACAATCATCATCTGCTTCTTCTTTCTTCTTCTTATCTCCTTTATTTGTGTAATATGTTTTTCTCTTCCATTACTCCCTTTCTTACCATCTTTCACACAGTCCGTCCATCTCTTTTTCGGTTTTCTCTGCCCTTATTACCATCCACATTCACTTGTGTTGTTATAGTGTAATTATTTATTAAAAATAACATTTATTCAAAAGAGCAACACACAAGTTTCTTGCTCATTCTTCTTGTGATGAGTCTGATTTCCGAATGAGTGGTGGAATAAAAAAATATGACTATTCAAAAGTGTTTGTATTGAGTTTATTTGAATAAAGATTATTTCTATTTCTATCACTTACCAGATTTCACGATATCAGTCATGGTCTCAAAATCTAGAACGCTATTGATCGGCAGCATGAAGCAGTCACTCAATTTGGTCATCACATCCCTGACCGTCTTCTTGCGAAGGTCGAGGGCTCCAGAGATGATGTTGACTTCTTCCTTGTCTAAATCATTGACATGGTTTGTTACCTAAAAACAATTAAATAAGATAAGAATTTACAAATTAAAAACAACTCAATTAAAGACAGCCTCGGTGGTCTAGCGGTTATACCGTTTTACTTCCGATGGTCGAGAGTTCGATTTATAGTGTTATAAAGTGTAATAATTTGTATTCATGAGTATGATTTAATCGATCTGGATGCTTTCTAACATAGATTATTGTGAGACGTTATGGCCGCTGTGTACTTTATTCAGGGTTATTTATGTATTAAAAAATAACATAAATTTACATTATTATCGTCTGTTCGGGTTACGACCACTGATTACACTATTTGCTTTTGACCTAAATTGCAATAGCATATGCTTGTGGTCACTCGCATCATTGCCTTGCCTTTATCCCATTATTTGGGGTCGGCGCAGTATGGTCATTCTCTTCCACTGCTCTCTATCAGTCGTCATATCTAAACATACTCTTCTTTTATTCGTATCATCTTTCACACAATCCATCCATCTTTTCTTAGGGCGTCCCCTCCCTTTAGATCCTGGTGGTCACTCTATTCTCCCAAATTTGATTTTAAAAATGAATCTGTATTATTCTAAACTATGTTTGAAAAGAATACCGAGCTGAGTTTCTTGTCAGTTCTTCTCAGCTCAATATCATTCCAAACTGACGGTAGATTTGACATATCGTAAGAGTCTGTAATGTAATGTGGTGCACCCGTCTGCGCTATTGGTTTACGCTGGCGGGGCACCAGTGGAGGACAAGATGAGTATGAGGTCAGGTCAGTTAGCCCACCGTGGTAAATTCACCATGAATTTATTGCAATGGTTTCCAGGGGGAACCACGTGGATGTCAACCTGACATGGTACATGGTGGTTATTTGTCCACATTAGTAGCAATCCCCTCCCCCCCACGAGGATGTCGCATGATAAAGTGATATCCATAGTGCTGTTCATGTATATAGGCGACGGTTACCACTTACCATCAGGCGGGCCGTCAGCTTGTTTGGTATTACAATGACAAAAAATATAGTAAATAAGCGAAGTTACATTAAAAATACCAGGAGAACATGAATTTATAGACGGTTTGTTGAGAGATAGTGAAATTACATTGTACAACGTATTAAGGATAATACGAAAGTATGATAACGTGATGTCCGTAGCACTGTTCCTGTACATATATAGGCGACTGTTACCACTTACCAACTACGAGAGTCATATGATATCGTGATGTCCGTAGTGCTGTCGGTTACCACTTACCATCAGGCGGAACATCTTGTTTGGTATTACAATAACAAAAAAAAGTAAAAAACAAGCGAAACTACATTAAAAGTACCAGGAGAACATGAATTTATAGGCAGTTTGTTGAGATATGGCCAGTGAAATTACTGCGTATTACGTATTAAGGATACTACAGCCGTCATATGATAACGTGATGTCCGTAGTGCTGTCGGTTACCACTTACCATCAGGCGGAACATCAGCTTGTTTGTTGTTATTACAATTACAGAAAAAGTAGCAAACAAGCGAAACTACATTAAAAGTACCAGGAGAACATGAATTTATAGAAGGTTTGTTGAGAGATATGGTCAGTAAAATTACAGTGTATTACGTATTCAGGATACTACAGCCGTCACATGATAACGTGATGTCCGTAGTGCTGTTCATGTATATAGGCGACAGTTACCACTTACCATCAGGTGGGCCGTCAGTGTGTTTGCAATTTCAATTATATTAGAAAGAACTTAGGATCTTATTTACCTTGACAAGTTCCTTCAGCCGCTCCCTGTTGTAGTGTGTGCCGATTTCCTCACCCAGGAAGTAGTCGAGGAGCTTGCTGGTGGGCCAGGCGAGGGGGGCGCATATACCCATTACAATCTATAAATATATAAATATTTATTTTCAAGATGTATTTTTAATAAGTTTAATATTTAAATAAATTAATAAAAAATATTAAATAAAATAAAGAGGTAATGAGCCCTACGTTTACGGGTTCGATTCCTCACACAGTGCAATCATTCATGAGTATGGTTGTTTTTATCGGCCTGGGTGTTTTCTATGTATATTGTGTATATATTTAAAAAGAAAACCAAGTCATATATATATATCAGTTATCTAGCAACCATAACACAAGCTCTGCTTAACGTAAGACTAGTGTTATTGGTCAAGAGTTATAATAGTCTAGTACCCATAACACAAGCTCTAACTTTAGACTGGTGTCCATAAGGCATAAAGGCTAAAATGTCCTACATGAATAAATTATTTGTGACTAGATTCATTATTATGATTTTATATATGTTAAATTGTACAGTTTTATTAAAAAAAATCTATTTATTTAAAAAGAAAACTTAGTTATATGTATCATTTATCTATTACTCATAACACAAGCTCTACTTAACTTAAAACTAGTGTTAATTGTCCAAGTATTATTAAGAAAATAGTACAAAATGTAAATAAATAGCCTACCTTCATTATCCAAATACTCTTAGCACCAATCAGCAGCCCGTGTCTCGCGCAGATCGCTTGCGGTGTAATCTCCGCTATAAACACAATAGCCAGAGTCGAACCTATGACAGCTACTAATCCAGACGTCAGATCATCCAGGATGACCGTGAATGTGCTGTTCACAGCCACGTTGCTCAGCAAAATGGTACATAGCAGGTAATTCCCTTGTGCTCTGACAGGCATAATAGCTCGAGCGTATTTCCTTTCCTTTTCCGTGCCTGTATTCGCTATGATTTTCAATTCTGTTCGATCTAGCGCCATCAGTCCGAGATTCAGACCAGAGAATAGGGATGCCAGCATCAATAATATAATTATAAGGATTATAGAAGCCCATAGAGGTAAAAGTTTGTTGTGTGTTGCCAGTATTTTCCATTTCTCGTCTCCTTGGTGTATGAAATCGTCGCTGTTCAAATGTTTAGCGCATATGTAGAATTTGTAATCGTCTAGTGGTGCCGGTGCGGTTAATTCTAGTAATGCGGAATCGTTATCCACGTATTTTACCTGGAATTATAAAAGAAGCGGTTAGTCGCCGAATAAAGGTGTTGATCATGAGGTTTTATTAAAAAATCTAATTAACTAGCTGATCTGGCAATTTTTTTTTTGTAATTACATACTTATCTGTTTATATCAGTTGTCTAGTATATATATATATACATACATAAATAAAAACATATAAATAAAATTTAAGTGTCTGTAATATTGGAATAACCGTTTTTTCCTACATGCATATGAATGTAATACGGTATACACATACACCAAAATATTTTTTTTACAATTTTTGTCTGTATATCTTTTTGTTCCGGCTATATATATAAATGGCTATAAAGTCCGTCAAAGGTGGACGCCTGAAGTACCAGGGGTGTCATTATAAAGCTGCCGACCCTTAAGAAACCTTAATATACCCTTCTTGAAAATATCTTTACATATTATAAAATGAAATCACTTCCGTTGTCTGTTCGCTTAGAACTTTTAAACTATGCAACGGATTTTAATGCAGTTTTAGCAATAGTGATTGGAAACTTTATAGGTATAATATATATGCGAAGCCGGGGCGGATAACTAGTTATTAATAAAGACTTATAAATACAAACCTGATATTCCCCATTCAACAAGTTGTGACACGACGACCCATACTTCTGGGCTCTGTGTGTGAAAGAGAACACTGTATCGTTGTTGAATCCTTCTCCAAACAATCTCAAAGTGAACGTGGTCGCCGTCAGCACGCTGGGTATCATACCATCCACAATATGCGGCTCTTTCTCCGACTCTTCAACCCTTAAACCCATCACCTTAACCCCACCAACTATATTCACGTTAGCTTTAACAGTTGCATTATCTGTACTATTGTCTTTAGCAACGTTATCCTCAATTTCTCGTTTTATTCTAGAATATTCGAGATCATTCGAGATGTATCTATCAAGTTCTATGTTAGGTAGGTATGAGAACGTTTCGATGCTGAGGCTGTCTGCTTCGGCACCTTCATTCACGACAGTATCGTTGTCTAGTTCTTTCTGTTCTTCTATTGTGTTGCTGAATTCTTCTATCTGTTGATTGGCAGGTGTGTCTTCGTCACTAGCCTCATTTTCTGTTGATCTGTAACAAATAATCAAATCAAATTAAAATATATTTATTCATGTAGATCTATGACATCTTAATCCCCCGTCCAATTCAAATGGGGATCGAAATTACGTCGGCCTGAGCCAAGGTTGGAAACCCTAGCGGTGCCCAGACTAAAGTGGTATCCATCAGACGGGAGATGGCATTTAGCAGCTACCTTTGGTTTGGAGTGCCATCTGCACTCGCCCCCTATCGTCCGGTGAAGCTGTAAAGGCCAGCTGCGGTCAACAAAATTAGAGTATTCCGAAAAAAGGAACAAACGAGCTAAGAATTACTGACAAGCGGTAAGATCACCTCCGATTATGTATTGTGGACTCTTAAAATAATAATAACAATCTCAGGACAATGCATACAGCGCCATCTAGACCCAAGTTAAGCTAGCTAAAGCTTATCTTATGGGTACTAGATAACTGATACAAATACATAGATATATATTTTTTTCGTAAATACATATTATACATAGAAAACACCCAGAGAATCATAATTATGAATACAAATGTTAGTGGCCTGCAAGAAATCGAACCTCAAAGCCGAGACCATCAGAAGTAAAGCAGCGTGCTAAACCGCTAGACCACCGAGGCCGTCTGTGTACAGATAGAGTTATATTCGCATTTATAATATTAGTACGGATTATATAATTTGAATTTAAAAATGAATCTGTTATTTTGTATAAATGTACAAGCATATATAAAAGAATCAGATCTGAATTTCTTATTAGTTCTTAGCTTGAATGCACTTCGAACTGACGATAGATTTGTCATATCATACGAGTCTGTAATAAACCTGATTTATATTATTACCGCTTTCTTAATCTACAGTCGACACCTTTATCATTAAACCCACTTAAATCAAAGTGCCGTACAATCTGATCGTTTTAGACTAATCGCTGACGCACGATCTTAGATGCTTTAACTAATAGATCTGAGATCGAATCCATCGATCAATTCTCAATCTGATCAGATCGACTGTCATCGGAATATCGAAGGTTTGCGTGTGTAAGGACATATTTTAATAATCACAGCGTAGGATCTAATTAGGGTTGCCAACTTTTTTTGACAAAAAAATAAGGTAAAAAATATAAAGTATTAAGAAATAAAAGGTGTTTTTCAAATTTTATATTTTGTGTGCTTTTAGCACAAGCTAATATTTTTTTGTTATGTTTAAATGTTGCAAAGCTTGTTTGACAATCAACATTTAACATTTACATATAATTAAATAAATAAACAATTCGTTTTTAATCTTCAATTATAAACGGTTTTGTTTTTGTACAATTTCGTCGATAGTGAGTGACATCTGTGAGCTGTGACAAATGTCACAACGCACAACTGACATCTAACATTAGGTTCAGTAATTATAAATCGTTAACTACTTATAATGAGTATTCTGTTTTACGCATCACAGTAAAGGTTGAAAATAAAGTGTTTTGCATACTTTATTTGTATGTAAAAGTATAAAGTGTAATTACCACAAATAAAGTAGGATACATTAAAAGTATGGTTGGCAATCCTAGATCTAATCATTGTACTTATCTATGTCTATTTTTAACCCCGACAAAAAGGGTGTTCTAAGTTTGACGCGTTTGTAAAAATTCGTCAGCGTCAAACGTGAACACCCTTTTTGCGTCGTACTTACTTAGGTACTCTCCTTCCTAATATTATAATTGCGAAAGTAACTTTGTCTTACTGAAGTGCTTTCACATCATAATTACTGTATCATATTAGTATGATTGACAACTCTATTTTTTTTAACGTCAGGAAAATCTTCGTAGAGGGCCACCGGCTTAGGGGCCAAATGGGGACTGCCGGATTCATACCGGCCAAAAACCGGACGACTATTCCTCCTCGAACATATCGCCGTAGCCATGGGATCGCATATGGCGCATATATTCTCCAAGACCACCGACACGGTTTCCATCGAAGGGACCTTTCATCTAGGCGTGCAGGGAATGGCCTCTGCACGCCACCGCCGGACCCTAATGACACCCCTGAGGTGAGCTTCAGATCGATGGTTGGCAACCCTAGATCTATAATCATTGTACTTTATCTATGTCTATTTTTATATAAAATTAAAAATATAATGCACAGTGTATTATAATGAACGACACAAAAAGGGTGTTCTAAATTTGACGCGTTTGTAAAAAGTCGTCAGCGTCAAACTTAGAACACCCTTATATATATACACCCTATACGGATTTAAATGAAATTTGATACAAAAATAGTCTAGATCCTAATAAAGAATGTAAGGACAATTTTTAATACGATACGACGAAAAAGGTTGTAAAAGGTTGATAGAGGAGATGAAAGATTATATGGAAGTATCGACCATCACTAACAGGTGAGAAGTTTTTTCAGTTACTTAAAAAAAATGTTTATTGTCTATGGTACGTATCAAAAACAGAGTACACTATGCGTAGAGGTAAACGTCCTTTTGACGTCACGCACGACCGACGTTCCGTCATGGCTGTTGCATCATAGTCTCTGGTATTTTGTGTTCCCAAATAGACGCGTCAACTGACGACCTCAATGGTATAGCTGTTTAGCACGTGCCTTACTTTCGAAAGTCGCAGGTTCGATACTCGGACTTTACATGCGTATGATTGTATTTGTGTACCTTTTCTGTGTATATTATTTATAATATAGTATAAATTATGTATTACTAGTGCTTGCTGTATGATTCACAGAGTAATATTTTTACAAACTTTGAATGTTATTTTAATTTATATTCAATCAACAGTCTAAACTAAAAATAATAAATTTCAACCTTCTAGCTTTTAAAATGGCAATTCTTCCAAATAAACTTTTATCTTCTCTTTTAGCTCCTTTACAACCCTTTTATTCGCATTAAAAAGTAACCTATGTCCTTTCTCAGAGTTTAGAGACTCTGTGTACAAAAATTTATTTAAATCGGTTCAGTAGATTTGTCGTGAAAGCATGACAGACAGACAGTTACTTTTGCATTTATAATATTAATAAGGAATAAGAAAAAAATATGAATATTTAAAAATAGAACAGACATAAGATAACATATTTTAAAATAATATGTAAACCATTTACATTTAAATAAATGAACACTATGAACTTTAAATACTGAACGCGAGCATTCTAAATTTAAAATATTGTGTCACAATGTGTGTCAGACGTTCTTGGGGCGACTCATTGCGTGACGTCACAATGTCACAGCCCGGCGCAGACTCGCAACTATGGGTACTAGACAAATGTAATGTTGTAAATACATACACAATCTACATAGAAAACACCCAGACCGATAAAACAATTATACTCATTGTAGTGTATGTGGAAACACTAGCAGTTTATTATCTATCGTCTCGAGCCGAGCGTACACGTACCGCCGTGCGCAAGAGGGAAGGGATTCCCTGCGCAAGCGCCGCGGAGTAAAGACGTGGAGCTATGGCTAACGAGCCGATATTACATCGATAACAACTTACATACAAGAAGACATAAATAACAAATAAGTGAACACTATATGTGGCGACGAGGCAAAATGGATATAAATAAAGATAAGTACAAAATCATTTAATAAGATATACATATACCTACGGGTACGGAGTAATTACAAATTTAGAAGGATTATGGTGGGGCCGCACGGGGAGCGAATTATATAGACCTATACAGAAAAAACAATAGCTGGGTAACATCGGTTTACGACCGATTTGAGCCAAGTAAGTAGGTACCTAATTATAAATTGTACTTGCTATACCTATAATGTCTCTAGCTGGTAGGAATAGTCGTATTAATAATCATTGTGGTACTATGTTTACGTATATCCGTGATTTATTATTTTTAATGTATAATAATGGTGTACTGCCTGCGCTGGCGTGGCACTGATGGAGTATGGTAGAATGAGCGGGGGGGATAGGATCGGTTGGCCCGTCGTGGTGGGTTCGTGTTAATTTGTCGCGATGGTTTCTGGGGGGAACCGCGTGGAGGTCCCTCTGGCGTGATACATTGTAGCAGTGGGATTATTTTAACAATCCCATTACCCCTTCCGTATTTCCGTGTTGAAATAAAAATCGGTAATGATTGCCGATTTTTAATGTTGGTAATGGTTGCCGCTGCATGTTCGTTTTATGTGGGGTCGGTGACGGTGAGATGTTTGGTGGGACATCATATTACGTGATGCAGTAGACCTGTGGATATGAAGTATAATAGAGCACTGTGCGGACGACACGTTTGTTTTGCTTTATCTTTTCTAGGTGTCGATGCACTTTAATTACTTTTGTCAATAGGGCCGCCTTATTGTATTTATACAGATGTGGTGACAAGTGTTCAAATGTCACTATTTTCTTTTAGGGTATTGCTGCAAATGGAAGTGGTCTAAAGTTCCTCTTTCTAACTGTAATGATCACATGATAACCTAATATTACATTTTGTACGGGATAATATTACGATGTTGTCGGGTGATACGATATTATTACAAATGATGGATAGCTGACAATTGTACCTGCATTATAGTACTGATGTTGGGTATTATGTACAAAACAACAATAGTAAAATCTAAGGTGGGGTGACACGGTTTGAGCAGTGATTGGTAGACAATATTTATATTTGCCTTAATTGATTGCAAGTGTTGAAGTATCTGGGTAACAGTGTCCCATACATTTCGATGCGAATGAGTTGTTCGGAATACCTGCAGACTATTTTATTTTGGTATTCGAGCAGAGCCGCGAAGTAGTGTTGTTAAAATGTTTTTATTTGGATTGGATTTGGCTTTTGGATTATATAATTTATAAATAATAATTATTAGTGAGCATTCCAATGGATGCCGGTGGGAATTGCTATTGTTTGCATAGGAAGGTTTTAAATGTAGATTAATTATTAGTTTGATATATTATGTTGGGGTCTACTATACATGTTGTGTAGTGCAAGGTGCCTATCTACTTGTCTGGCATATTTTTACCAATTTGTGCTTTGTGTTAAAATGAATGCGCATCTACACTTGCGACCTAGAAGGCAATCTTTTGGTTTGGTGAATAGTGTCTAATGAATTTGTTGAAGAAAAAAAAAGCAACGTAGTCAAGTCGCTAGTTATGGTCGGATGTAAGGTACAGGAGTGCTGTTTCTGTATGCGGTGTGTGGTTTCTATAGTCAGTAACACTGGAACGAAATTAGAATTATTCTATTATTTTTACAGCAATGACAGTGATTAACTTTTAATAATAGGCTATAGTATAGTATAGTGGTGGTGAGTATGTCTTTATGGAATCATATTTAAGATTCTCTCTAATTTAAAAATACCTGTAAATTAGAAATTGCACAATAATGGTTACATGAAATAGAACTACTATTAAGTTTTGAATTATTGTACCTACTCGCCTAATGCATTATGCAGATGAGTGAAGGGGTTATTAGAGTGAAAAAATGATTTTTATTTTCTTTGAAGTTTCGGGAACATGGAATAGAATATGAATATTCTTTATTCAAAGAAGCTTGAATAAATAATAGGAATTATAGCCATAATTGCATTAATGTACAGCATTTAGTAGCTGTGGAATGGAGTTAGAATTTGTTTTGTGATCACATGCAGACAGCGCTGACAGCTGTTTTATATGAATGTAACGGGGATGTTGGAGCGATGGGGTGTCATTTTTAATTGACAGTTAATCTAGTTGCAGCTGGAGTTGTGTAGTGTCGCGATACGCGAAATAAGTGTATTAATGTGGTTTTGAGTTTTGAGATAGCTAATAGGAAATAATACCTGCTTCATTGTAGTAGTTGTAAAATATATACATGTTTATCGTCATAGTACTGGTGTTGGTCGCTCTCTAAATACTTTGGCCGCATTGCAGGGTAGCTTAGACAAATTAGCGTGTTTTAACTTTTACATACGTACTACAGTGCAACCTCGATAAAACAAATCGAAACAAAGGAAGCAAGTAAAATAATATATATATGTAGTATATCAAGTAATTCGTTGAACTGAGATTTATTATGTTGAAGGTACGTTGGTCTAAACTTCGTTATAAAAAGGTAAAAAAAAAAAAAAAAAACCAGTCTGAGCCATTTCAACTTTAATCTTTAACAATAGTGACAAGCAGCAGTGTTTACAAAACTTTACATTACTTTCCATCGAACAACAATTATTGTTCTACGAACAAAAGTACGTCGAAATATGTCCTGACATGAATCACATTTTATTAGATAAGAGATAAGTAGAGTTAGAGCCATACCATTGGTGGGAACATTATATAAAGGTTTTGGGTTAAGAAATTCCTTATAAAGAGGTGTTTTATATGAAGACTTAATTTATATAACTTTATTTACAATATAATTTAAAACCGTGAGGTAAGAGGTGTTTTCCAAATTAAAAATAATAATAATGTCGCAATGTAAAGGTATATTTTACATCGATTCTTATGGAAAATACAAGAGGATTACAAAGAATTAGTTAAATCAAGGAAGTCGTTATATACGAGGTATATTATTGTGAATGAGGTGCGTTATATTATGGCTGCACGATTATTATTATTACTAGATAATAATGTAAACCATGATGCATGATGGTAACAATTACTAACGATAGACATTATTGCAAAAACAATAGTTCTGAGGATACTATTAGTATTCCTATACTTTAGACTAGATTTATTTACTGGACAATCTTGTGGAGTAAATAAATCTGAAATATGTTTAATATTAGTAGTCATAAATGTATATATTGTGAAAATTAAATGGATAAGAGTGGCGTTTAATTGTGCTATAATTATAATATTTGGTGTTTTGCAGGAGTTCATGATTTGCTTATAAAAAAGTCGATTGCAACTATTGGCTCAGAGGACCTTAAAGAAATTAGCAAAGGAAGAAAAACAATGAGCATAATACTAATAACCAATACTTAAAGAGGATGAATTAAGAAGTTCAATGGAGTTATAATGACGGTGACAATGGCATTGATATTCTAAAAGAGGAGCTACAGAGGTAAGGTAGACTGGGCCGTCAAGCATTAAATTGCGTATTGACGGACAGGTTGCATTAAATTGCGTTGGCTGGGCCATCAGGCATTAAATTGCGAACTG